TTTGAAGCATTTGTTTTGTGATCACCGTTACATGCACTTGAACAAGAATTCAAACGCGTGAATAAGAATATTAAACGATGAAACCACAGATTCAAACACTTGAAATTGTCAAAAGGTCTAAATTCTTGCTCAAGATAATTAAGTACTTCATGAACATAAATAAGAAGTTCGACTAGAGTTTTTTTATTAATCAATCTGATATAGTTAATACTATCATCTAAAGGTTATACTTGTTTTTGTTATTTAAATTATCGATTTTTTTTTCATGGAATAATTAAGCACAACTTGTCTTTCAATTATTGTTTACAATTAATCTAATGATACTTGAATAATTGTCGTCTTATCACAATATTCGAATATCTATGACGTTCATCATCATAGCCTTGTACTTTTCAAAAGGTTCCAGATCTTTCAATATTCAATAATAATGTTTTTCTTTTGTATATTTAGGCTGTATATGCTCATTATCGAGCATCAGGTGGTCGATGTCAATTTCGTCGTCGTCGTTGGTATGATTGGTTAACTGGATATCAACAACAGCAACCTCGTGATCAACCGTTAGAAACAATATTTGCATCATATCTTGACTTACGTCTTCATTTACAAATTGCAATATTATATAGTGCACATTGTACTGTTCAAAATAAATTACTTAATTGTCGACAACCTGAAATTCTTGAAATGCCAGCATATTCAATTCAAGATACAACATTAGGTTCATTTCTCGAACAACATTGTTTTTCAACAAATGATGCACCATGTAAAACATGTCAACAACCATTACAAGATCATGTTCGACAGTAAATCTTTGTTATTTTGTATTGAAATTTTATTAAGAATTTATTTGTTTTAAGAATTGTACATGGTGAAACGAAATTAGTTATTCGTATTAAACATGTTGATAAAACAACATCAAATTTACAAAAACTTTCGAAATCAAATGGTATTTATATGTGGAATTATTGTGAACATTGTCGAGAAGTATGTGAAAATTTTTATTTAATAATATCGAATATATCATATGGATACAAAAGTAATGATACAAAATGTTGACACTTATTTCTCCTTCATAGAAGTGTTCTGAGAGGAAAATTCTTCTTACACGAACAGATAAAAGTTTTTCTTTTTTTTTTCGAATCATTTATATGATGATTCAAAAGTCATTCGGAAGTCTATGATTACGAATAACTTTTGACAAGAACATGATAGAGAATTGCAATTTTCACTGTTTGAAAGATCACACGCTATTGCATTCTAATCGAATTGTTAGCGAGTGAATTTCTGCAAAAACACTAATTACTCTTATAAAATGCATTAGATTCGATTGTTGACGATCCATATCCAATTCTGAAATTATTATTGTGATCGAACGATGAAAGTCACAGTTCTCTATCATGTTCTTATCAAAATTTATTCGAAAACAAAAACTATCAGATGACTTTTTGAATCGTCCTGTGTAATTTATTTTTTATAATACATTTAACAGAAAAGAAAAATATCAGTAAAAACATGTTCACAATTTTCATGAAATTCAGTGCAATATGTTTATTCGTATATTTTTTCGATTTACTCAATAGGAAAATTTCTCATCTTTCGAATAATTCATGATTTATATATCTTACAATTGAAATGACACGTGAAAAAAAAAAGTTCATTTCGAATCGTGTCTATCGAAAGATATACTGACTAACATTTTGCATTGTTCTGTTTAAGAAGGTGTTATAAAAATAAATTATAAACTATTAGAAAGAGGTAAAAAGAATTAGTGATTGACATATTGTACATATACTTTTATATTGAATATTTGTATAAAAACTAATAAAACTAAATTTAATTAATATAGTCATCAGCAAAACGTTTAATGTCTGCTCGTACATGGTCATTATCGTTTACAAAATTTCTTGAATTATTATTTCATCTTGAATCATTTTCTGTATCATCAACACATCCATGTCAACATCATTTATTTCGTGATCATTATCATTATTTTCATTCTCAACAATTTATAGCATCATTTCGTTTATTTAAAATAAAATTAAAAGAATTTTATTTACCAAAATCAAATCTCATACTTAAACCATTTGTATATGAACGTGAATATTATATTGAATTAACAAAAAGTTTATCTGTTAATGGTTATAATATATTTTCAACAATAGTTGAACGTTTAGTTGAATTTAAAAATTTAAATTTAATACCAGATTCTTTTGTATCGAAAATTGATCAATATTTAGCACAAGAAAGATTAGAACAACAAACATTTCGTTCATTAATGGATGAAATTCAATTGAAGATGACTGCGGGAAATGGTGGTGAACAAAAACGACAATTAGGTAAAAGAATAGAAACTTGATTCATAGAATTTTGAAGTTACTTTATAAATCCTTCAAAATGAAATATAAGTTATTAATAAGCTTTTATAGAAATAGAATGGGGTCAGCTGAATCAAGTCGAGATTTGGACCTCTAAAAGTATCAATTTGAAGTTTTTGATTGAGTTGCTATTTCATTATTTAGTTAACAGTTTTAATTTCTATTAAATAACTTTAAAATTTTGAGTATATAATTAGATTGAGTATGTCCGTGGGATATGTTTTCAATAATTCATTATTATTTAACTAAATAATAATCGCCATATCTTAGGATCGGAATAACAAAAAGATCTAAATTTTTACAATAGACTTCTTGTTAAGGACTGCCTCTGTGCAGTCTCAAGTCGAAATTCGACAATCAGTTTTCTGAAGAAAGATCACGGTATCGAGTCAAATAATATCAACAAGATTCAGTATCTCTACCAGAGTTGTCTAAATTTTTTAGGAGTAGGAAGAATAACGAAACTCATCGTGACCTGAGCTTTCCTACAAAAGACGGCTTGTTATCGGGCAGTCTCTTCCTTGAGGTCGGCCCCAATCCTATTCACGGCGCAACGACATTGTCTGCTTATTTTCATTTCACTTTCTGCCAGAAAAATGCAATTGCTGTTTCAAAATCTAGTTTCTCTTCAAATTACCACAATGTTGTAAAAAGTTGGCACTATGTCTTAAAAATTCTGTAGGCCCGAACTTTTCTCAGAGTATTTATAGCTCATTAGGATCTACATAGAGGATATAGTCTCGACTCAAAAGCGATTTATCAATTAGAAAATTTTCCTCGTGAATCTTCTCTAGTTGCCATCGGATAACATCGCATTCAAAATTTATAGAAATTTCTTAACCTAAAAATTTTATGTTTAGATGCAGTTAGTTATGTTTGTATTGATGATCAAATAGTTGAAGCCAAAAAATTCATAACAAAAATTGTTCATAATTGGAATACAACACTTAATGAACTTGTACAAATAATAAAAAAGTATGAAAAACAACAACGTGAAGCATCAAAAAAAGTACCAATTAAAGCACTTACATCAGGTGAATTAGCTAATGAACCAACAAATTCTGTTCAAAATGAATCCGATATATCAAATATACCTGACTCAGCATCTATATCTTCAACACAACAATCAATAATAATTGATAATGATGAAGATAATATTGAAAATGGTCCAAAAATAATATCAGCAAATGATGATGAACCATCTAAACGTAGTGGTGTATTAAAATTTTTTTCAACATTTTTACCTACATCAGAAAATGATTTTATACCATTAAAATCTCCATTTAATGATGATGAACATTTACAATTACCCGGCAAATATATTGTTAATCATCGTGAACTAAGTTCAATAATTGCACATGCATTATCAATGTCTGAATATGAACAACGTTTAAATGACGAAATTTTATTAATAAATGATACAAATCAAGAACAAAAATCTAATGATATACAACAACAAAATGATAGTGATAATAATAATAATAATAATAGTTTATTGGATGATGATCATCAACATGTTGAATTAAATTTTCACGATTCATCAACAAAATTTACTGTTAAAATTTTTTATGCAGCTAAATTTCATTTATTACGTCAAATAATATTTTCAAATAATGATCAAACATCATATATACGTTCATTATCACATTGTAAAAAATGGCAACCACGTGGTGGAAAATCAAAATCGGAATTTTGGCAAACAAATGATGATTATTTTGTATTAAAAGATCTTAATCAAAAAGAATCATTATCATTTTCAACATTTGCACCATCATATGTTGATTATATAACAAATTCAATAAAATATAATCGTCCAACAACATTAACTAAAATTCTTGGAATTTATCATATACAATATCGTCATAATACAACAGGTGAAAATTTTAAACGTGATATATTAGTTTTAGAAAATTTATTAAATAATCAAAGTTCAACAATACCACCAATTATATATGATTTAAAAGGTTCAATGAGAAATCGTTTAGTTAATGTTGATGATACACAAACAAATGCTGTTTTATTAGATGAAAATTTTTTAACACAAACACAAGAAAATCCATTTTATGTACGTTTACATACAAAATGGACATTAATCAAAGCATTATATGCTGATACACAATTTTTAGCTAAACATGGTATTGTTGATTATTCATTATTAGTTTCATGTCCGAAGAATAATAATAATGATGATGAACAACAATCAATTGTTTTTGTTGGTATTATTGATTATATAAGAACATATACATGGGATAAAAAAATTGAAACAATTGTTAAATCAATGAGTGGTCAAGGACAATCACCAACAGTTATATCACCTGAACATTATAGAACAAGATTTTTACGTCGAATGGATCAATATTTTCCTGTTGTACCTGATGAATGGCATGCATATGAAAAAAAATATTTAGATTTATCATTATTTCAAACTGAAACTATGGCAGCTAATTTGACAAATAATGATTTACCGAATCAATAGGTTGAGATTTTTAAGTTTTCTTTTCTTTTCTTTCTGTTTTTTGTTCGTCTTAATGATTTTCTTTCTATTTATTTTATTAATAAGTTTGCTGTAAAAAGAAGAACAAAGCATTGATTGTTATATAAATAAATAATAAAGGCATATTTTTTTAGATGAATTTACCTGATACATTATTGAGTTCATTATCAATAAAATCTGATAATAATGAATCATCTATACCATTATTATCAACACAAACACAATCGATAACTAATGTTGGTATTATGCATGATAAGCCTATAACTGATTTAGCTTTAAAAACACCAATTAGTTTTTTACAAGAAATCTGTTTTCGTATTCATGCCACACCAACTTATAGTCTATGTCCAAGTGAAGCACAATGTACATCAAACGAACCAGCATTTCTCTATCGAGTTCTTGTTGATGATATGATTGCTTTCGGTAAAGGTAAATCTATTCATTTTAATAGTTAAACAATAATATTCTCAATAAATATGCTTTTTGTTTTTTAGGTTCAAGTAAAAAACGTGCTAAACATAAAGCTGCATTATGTATGATTGAACAATGTTATGCTAAATTAAAATTAGCTGATAGTTTATTAGTTAAAACTATTGAACAATATTTGTAAGTAAAAACAAAAGGTTTTGATTTTATTTTTATTTTTAAATATTTTTATTTTTTCTTTATTTAAATCTTATTATTATATAGTTTGTTAAAACCACTACAAACTAGTAATACAAGTGATGATATAATGAATAATGGTGAAAAAAGTAATCCAATAGGTAAACTTCAAGAATTAACACAAAAAAATTGGATTCGACCACCTGAATACGAATTTTTCGACCAAGAAAATGTTTCTGTACCTAATTCTAAAACATATTCATGTCAAGCTAAAGTTGCTACTTATATAGCTGAAGGTTAATTGATTGGTTTATAAGAAATTTTTCATGATTTATTATTTTTATTGTATAGGTAATGGTCTATCAAAGAAAATAGCTAAACGTCAAGCAGCTACAAATTTACTTAATATATTAGAAAATCTTGGATCTGAAGAAAAGAAAGCTTTACTTAATCGTACTGAAGAACAGGTTAATATTATTTATTTGAATGATATTTCAACTGAAAATTCAATCTTTTCGAATGATGAGATATAATCTGATAGGACAAAATTATATTGACAAACATATTTCGTTTTTTGTATCTATATGTATTCTAATTGATAGAGCGATTTGGATTATTCACAATCTCATCCGAAATTTCGTCGATCAAGACGTAAAGTGAATGATTCAAGTGTAAGTTTCGACATAAAGGATGCTCCATAAATAACTAGATGATAAAAAGAAATGCTTAATATCTCTAATCTGCTTTAATCAATCGAGCTGTCTTTTTTTTCTCAATAATAGAGAGCTGTTCAAACATTTAGTTTAAAAGAAAACTATCAATGAATACTATTTTGAACTATTGACCGAAAGTATTCTCCCTGTGAAGTCAACTGTTCTTAATGTTACACATCGAAAATTTTTAGCATATGTACTATGTTAGAAATATAATCTAACGAGACCAGCCCAATCTCGATCGTTTGAGATAAATAGGAGTTATGATGTGTGATAGTTGTTTGCACTATGAGATCTATGAGTCAAAAAAAGAAGAAACTGACAACCTGGTCAATCTATCATTATGTTAAATGTTCGCAGCTTTTGAACACTAGATTGACATTCAATGAAATTCATAGGATCAAAATCGTATTAAAGAACTTCATAATTATAGATTCGCTGAATCACAAACTTCTTTTTCCTTGCTTGCGCTAGAGCACTCACGACGAGAACTGTTGTCATAGACCATAATTCCTTTTCAAATCAAGCAAACGAAGCACGACTGCTCTCATTGACCTACATTTCTGAGGTAGTAAATACACTGAAAAATTTCACATGTCTAATTCTAAGAATGGTTGAGATCCTAGGGTAATATACTTTCGACCAATCAATATTGCTAATTCTACGTTATATCTATTTGACAGTTTTCTAATGAATAAAAACTTTAATAAATCTTCTATCATCAAGAAAAAAATCAGTCCGATTGACTATAGTAGATAGGAGACATTGAACTTTTTATCATCTACTAGTTATTCATGGATCATCCTGTATATATACTAGTGAATTTTTCTTCAAAAATTTCATTCTAGTTACTTGATACAAGTGGTATACGTGGTACCGGATCAGCTCGATCAAATCGTTTGTATGATAAAAATTCATTTCATATAATGAAAAATAGTGATTTACCTTATATAAAAAAATTACTTTCTGACGATTATTATCAAGAATTATCGCAATCATATGAATTGTTTCAATATCTTGCACAAGAACAAAATTTTACATATGAATTTATTCAATTACCAACAATTTATCAAGGTTAAAATCTCCTTTTCTCTCTTGTTTTTTTTCCAAATTAATAATTCAAATGATTTTTTTTTCCTTAAAGGATCTATTGAATTATTACTTGAAGTTCGTCTTTTGCCCGTATCTGTCTTCCATGGTTATGGTGAAACATTTGATTTAGCTCGCCAATATGCTGCTAATCTAGCATTAAAATATATTCGATGTCTTTCTAAACAATATCAACAACAACATTCATCATCTGTAATCACGACTACACCATTAGTGCAAACGACTGCATAGAAAAACAAAACAAAAAAAAAAGCTGATTTGTTTTTTTCATAAATCAGATTGAAAAAAGCGAAAAGCAAATGTCTTACTTCTAGTCATCATTTTCAAATGTAAATATCGAACTGTGATATTTGTTTCTGTTTTGCACTAGGAAAAAAAAAGAGGAAATACAACATTTAAACATTAAACAATTTGACCACGAATTGTTCGTTTAATAGTAACAAATGGTTGCGTATTTATATATCCAATAGTTGTATGTTTTGATTTATGATTAACTGGTATATTAACATGAAATATTCTAGAAATATTTAAATAAGTATCCATAATATCATTACGATCACGTATTGGAAAAATAATTGTTACGGAATATGTTGTTGCATCTAAATTATTAGTATGACTAAGCGTATTATTTAAATCAGACTCATTTGTTTGTATTTCAATATCTTTTTGTCCATATCGACGTCCACGATATTGATAAAATGGAACAGAATAAAATTCATGACGACCAAGTATAGTTGTATCTATCTGACGTAGATATCTATGACGATGTAGTAAATGAGATACACGATGTTGTATCGTACCGCCGGCTGTCATTATGGATGATGCATCATCATCTTCTGTCATGGATGATGCCATTGATAAACATCGATTTGTTTCATTTAGACCTCTTCTCGGTCCAAATTTTATCGAATGATCTAATAAATAATCACTACTTCTTGCGCGTTCTAAGCCATATTCATTTCGATTTTTTTTATTTGATGATAAGCTATCGAAACTATTTCGACGTGGTCGATCAATTCCATCCCATTGAATACATATATCACGTACAAGTATTGGTGGTTCACGTTCATGTGTTGCACCTTGTTGATAAATAATCATTTTACACATTAATGGTAAACGTGTTGATGAACCAAGTATATCAAATGTAATCATTTCAGCCATATCAAAATTTTTTTTATCTGTACCAATTGATGGTACTTCCATTTCTTCTTCAAATAAAGTTCTTTCATAATAATCATCTTGTTTCATTGATGAATAGCCATCTGTATAAAAAACTTGTCCAAATGTTGGTACAAGAAATTTACTTGTATTTGATTTAAATGGTATTGCCTTTAGTACTGATGATGGAGGAGTTGGATGTTGAAGAAGTTGTTCATCACGTTTCAAAATTGTATATAAATCAACTGAATCATCATTTCTTTCCATTAAATATTATTTTTTTTTCGAAATAAATTATGATGGAGCAAAATGTTATCTGAAGAAAAATAACACAATATAAAGCGATAAATCCCATTAAAGAGGCTTTTTGTACTTTTGAAAAAAAAACCGCATTCCTTCTCGTCCTTCTTGCTGTCGAGTGTGATATTAAAAAAAAAATGATAACTCACAAGAGAAGAGAAGAAAGAATGAGTAAAGGTCTATACACAGACGTGTTCTCTTCTCGAATCTCCTGACATTCGTTTCGTTTTTTTCTTGTTACACACATACACTTGTCTATTGACATAGACACTGATATATATATATATATATATATTTGTCTTATCTAATTCTTGTATAAAGTGTTCAACCATAATTCGAACTTTTCAAAAAAGAAAATGGCAAGAAAAAAAATGAAAACAAACTAAGACATTTGTTTTCATGTATTCATAAATTACATATTATTCATATAGAAATCATAAAAACATAAGAAGTATGTTGATAAATGATTCTTTCTTTTGTTCGATTGGTTAATGAACGTATTTGATATACACTTGACTATTACGATACTGATATGATTTATTCGTTTGGCATTTTTATGCTGGTCCACCCACCTTATTTAATCATCAATTCTTTATGTTTGCCATATGTAAATCGACCATGTAAAAAGAGCTGTCTGTTTGATATACATTTAAAAAAAGTATCCTTAACCTTTTGTTGTACATCATTTCAATATAGATAGGAGGAGAAAATATGTTGGCTACATTTGTAGTTTAATATATGTTAAAAAATTTAATACCATGTCTGCATGAGACAGAACAAAAATTTACTTGATGAATTCAAATATTAATATTTTAAGCTTATGATCATATTTCGAAGGTAAACTCAATGTTTGTTGATCTACTATCGATTGCTCTTTAGTCAATACTTGATGATAAAGAAGAATATAATGTAAATCCAAATATACAAAAAAAAGAAAAAGAAAATTAATGATTTTTTTTTTGTGGCTTGTTATTATTGTCTAATTCATAAAAGATTATTCAAAAACGAGGATTTATTAATTGTTTATATTCTCATTGATAATTATCTATTTTATATATCATATAAAAAATTGCAAAAACATATGTGATTTATTGCTGTTGTAATCTGTTTCTTATTTATTTATTGCTGGGAGATTGATCAATCATAAATACGAATATTTGTTTTTGTTGTTTATTTGATTATAGAGATAGAAATTTAGAGCACTTGAATTGCTCTCACAATCTTTTTATTGAATACATTCACCAGATTATTTCACAACCAGTAATCTTCCACGTACATCAATATTAGAAATAGTTAATTGGACATTTCACAATACTACTTATTAAAATAAGTTTACATGGCTACAAATGATTGTCGACCATCAAATATCTATCGAATGCCAGTTTATCAAAAACGAATTACTGGTCTTGAAAAATATATATCTGTTCCATATACTCGTCCTCCTTCACCTATTACAACTGTATTTGTATCTCGACGACGTCATTCAACACCTCCAGCATCAACTCTACGTTTTGTTGAAGTCAAAGCAGCATCATCAAATACAGTTGTCAAACATTATTATCCGGCTACAAGACCAACACGTATTATTAGAGAAAAAGGTTCAATATCTGATTCAGTTAAATCCACTCCTTGTTCAGTTTCATTAGTAAAACGACGTTTTCAAGATGAACGTAGCGGTTATACAGCAACAGCTCCGACAAGTCTTAGTTCAATTACAGATATTATTTTACCAGTAGCTAAAAAAAATTGTAATACAATTGTTGATACCCCAAATCATATTGTATCCGATATTCAATCTCTTAATCATGATTCATCAACAAAAAAACAATTAAAAAGAAGGGAACAAGCAATGTCACTTGATCTTGGATGTGATGTTTTTCTGTCTGATGAAGAAGATCATGAAGATTCATTGCAAGATTTTGTATGTTTAAAAGTCTTATAAGAAAAACGAATTCATTTTTCTATTCTAGATTTGTAAATCAAAATCATATAAATGTGCTAAATGGTGTCAAAAAAAGTGTTCTTGTCTATTTTCATTTTGTAATATTTGTCAATTGTATTATACTTATCCATTTTGTGTTTGGGGTATATGTTTTGTCGTAGTACTTGTAATGCTTATCAGTATATTTATATCTGTAAGAGTTATATGGCGTTAATCTAATTATCATTATGTATAAGAGAATTTTAATAAATTCATTATTTTCATTTATATACAAAAGTAAATCTACCACAATATCCAATTAAGATACAAGAAGTAAATAAAACTATGAATGATCGTTAACAAAATGCATCTTATAATTTGATTTATTGACACAATTGTCACAGTACTGTTATATAGTAGAATTTGTATATTGTGTCAAGTTAATTTTAACATTTATTTGATGTTTGTTTTAAGACACAACATTGAATAAAAATGAAATTTCAAAGAAAAGTTTTCATGAATATTGATTATTTGGTGTTTATAAAAGAAATGTGAGCTTTTAAAATACTCAAACATTTATCTAAAATTTCCGACGAATCCATTCATGAAATTTTTTGGTCAAAATGACGTATATTTAACAAGATGTATAAATCTTTGAAAGAAAAAATTTCTAAGGATTTGTTTGCATCATTGATACAGTGACTCGCAAAAGTATTTGATCAAATTTATTTTCAATTCTTTTTCGTTGCCGTACTCACTCATAAGAATCTAAATTGTGATTTTAGTAAAGAATTTTATTCCCCACAAGAATATTTGAAGATAATAATGATTGATAGTTTCTCAAGAGTAAAGTGTTTGAACAAGCAAGAACCAAGTTCGTCAGTTCCTAGAATTTCCCAGCATTTTAGAACAAACAATTCTCTACATACTGACACCATTTTCAGCTCTCTATGACGTGTTTTGATCGAGATAGATTAATCTTATATAACGCACAATAATGGTGTTTCAATACGAAATAATAGAAAAAAAAAGACTTTTATGCCTTCTATAAAGTTATACCATTCTGGATAATTCAAAACAGAGTTCAACTAGCGCATTCCTGAAGCTGAAAAAATTGTTTTTTGGTCTTCCAGAGACTCTATATTTCGAAAATTAATAATTATTGTCCTCTTCAAACATTGTTATTAGAAATAAAAGTCTCTGGTGCAGTTACTATTTGGATTCTTATTAGTGTTTACATTTACAGTCACTCGAAAAACAATAAAATAAACAAGATCAAATAATTTTGAGAGGCATTGAAAATTTGGTTAGTAAAAAAAAAAAACTAATGCTGTTTTTTTCATGATCAAAAATAAAAATGAAATTAATTTTAATTTAATGACCAACTATTTTACACTAATTATTAGTGTTGATCATAATAATTACAAAAATTGAAGTAACGAGAATTAACACATCATTTATCGCTTTTCTTCGAGAAAACTATAAATCTTATATAACTTTTTCTCAGTTTACTGGTTAGTTAAAGACGTAAAATCGTGGAAATATATTCAAAATATTGAACATAGTGATCCTATTAAATGTATAACACAAAACGAAAGAAATTACTTTCTACGTATAAAAAGAAGTATTCAATCAAATAGGATACCTCAGTTACTATTTTTTACATATAGCCTACAACATATTTCAGTAAAGTATGTTTTCTTTTTTGTACCAGTTATAGTACATCTATAATGTTGTTCATTTATTGTTATTCGAACTATATATCTTCAAAATTATGGGTTTTATTGAAGTCTTTCTCAAGATCATTTAATCAAAGATTGAGCTGCCATTAAAAGTTTTCATTGAAAATCTTGACCAACAATTTTCGCAATATACAAGAGATAGAGTTCAAACAACAACAAATAAGTATCATTATAGATGTACTATAGCTGATACAAAACCGTAGTTTTCTGATATACAGTTAAGAGTATATGAAAAATAAATAGTTGAGGTAACTCAGTTAATGGAACACTCTCATATATGTATATATATGGCGAGCACATTTTCTTTTTCTTATTATCATAAAATTATATAAAAAGAAAAAAAATGAATAATGAAAAGCGAGCCATAAAAACTAATGTATTGTTTTTCTTTTGCATAATTAAAAATCAGTACAGCAAGCATTCCTATAGCTTCTTGTTTTTCGTTTTATTGTCTTTCTCTATTCATTTTTTATTTCTATGTAACATATTTTTTTCAATTACAACATAGTCATTGATTAAACGTGATGACAAGCATTCAACCACTCAACGAAACACGACATCGTAGTGCTGTAGTTCATCATGCACCAACATCTTCAGTTCGTTTTTATTCTGCTCGTATAGCTCCAGAAAAAACCGAAAATAAATATAAAAAATCAATTGAATCACCACCAATATCACCATTTAATCTTCAAATCGATGAAGAATTATTTGATTTTGATCCAGCTCCACCACTATCACCTTCAACAGAAAGTAAATTACTACCAACATCTCCTATTTCATCATTAGTCAATGAAAATGATGAAAATCGTCTTGTTAAAATATCTGAATTTCGTACACCTGAAAATACACCATTTAAACCTTTAACATCAAAAGTTTCAAAGAAACAATTACATTGGTATATTCTTATTACACCACGTACAATTTTTTCAATATCATTATTAACCATTCTTTCATTAGCTATTGTTCTTATTGGTTTTGGTATTTCCGTATCAAATAAACAATCACAATTAAATTATCAATGTCCATTAATATCATATTGTCCAAAAAATTCAAGTTATACGGTTTTATGTAATATGACAAATGAATATTGTGGATGTTATAATACAGACGATACACTTATTGGGTGTTTAAAACAACGACATTATGAACAAGGTTGTTATCGTTCACAAGAATGTTCAAATCGTGATAATCTTCAATGTAATATGAGTCTATATCAATGTCAATGTCTTGATCATTATATATATAATGGAAGTTTATGTATACCAATGTTAACATATGGTGAAATATGTTCAGTATTAAATGATACATGTGATAATTTATTAAATTTAACATGTTTATCTGGAAATATTTGCACATGTAATACAAATATTACATTTTGGAATGGACAATATTGTGAATTATATCGTTCTCTTAATAGTCCATGTGATCCATATAAAACTGTATCAGGTTGTTCAACGACATTTACATGTGATAATTTAACAGCAACATGTCAATGTTCATCATCAACTTATTTTGATGGTAAAATATGTTTATCATATAGGTCATATTTAGAACCATGTTATGATACATCATCTTGTTTGTCAAATACACAATTATCATGTTCATATGGTTTATGCCAATGTAATGATTTGTATTATTATTGGTCATCATTAACGTCTACATGTATATATCCAAAAAACATTCAATATAACTCTTCATGTGATTATCAAACAGGTTGTGAAAGTGATTATGGTTTACGTTGTATAAATAATCGATGCTTATGTGAAGTAAATTCATATTGGACACCAGGCAATTATTGTGATTTTCAATCACAATATAATGAACAATGTTTAACTGCTCCTTGTCTTTCTAATACTGGACTTATATGTTCATCTAATACATCAACATGTACATGTCCACAATGTAAGTTAAAGGTTTTTTCAAAAGTCTGAATTTAATACGTAATACATAAGATTAGCTGATAGCGGAACGAATTTGAAATTTTGAATTTTACCCAACAACCAAAAAAAAAGATCAGAATATCTTCAATATAGAGTAGATAGAAAAACAGTTTTTCTTTTTATTATTTTCATCTAGATTATTATTGGGATAATTATGTATGTCAATATCAACGTGCCTATACAGGTTTTTGTGTATATGATGATTGGTGTCGTATGGATATTGGTTTACGTTGTCGAAATTTTACATGTACATGTTCATTATGTACAACATGTTTTTGGGATGGTATACGTTGTCGTGATTGTCCAACATCATGGCAAGTTGTTACATCAAATGGTACAATGCAACCACGTGTTTATTGTTATGTTAAAGTTGATTCTTATGTTAATTGGAATGAATCGTTAAGTCTTTGTTCAACAGCAGCAACCTCATATTTTGGTAGTAAAAGTCATTTAGTTTATATTGATGATTTACAAGAACTTCAAGATATAAGTACATTTGCAACAACACAATATTATGATATATTTGTTGGCCATACAAATAGTTTTAATTATAGTCAATGGTTTCTTGCAAATGGAACAGCATCATCAACATTTAAATGGTGTTCAGGTGTGGCAACAACATTTTCATCATTAAAATGCACTCGTTTACTTATTAGTTCAGTTTGTGCAACGGATATAGCCTGTTATGGGTGGACTTCAAGATATATATGTGAACTTGATTGAAAGAAAAGGACAACACTAATAATTAGATAGACATTATGATCATTTTTCTTCTTCTTCAAGAAACAAATTAAAAAGCAACAATAAATAAATTTATTTTTGTATTTAATTTGTTTGTCTAGTTTCGTTTTCGAGTACTTTATCAAGTGAGATTTTCGATTTAACTTAAATCTCTAACATTTTGTTTTTAGATTAGAAGTTAAATGTTGAATACTATCAAAATATCAGATGTACAGTAAAAATTTTGTCTACAGATGAGAATTACTCAAGGCATACCAAAAATAGTGCTGAAGCACTTCAACATCATATAGAAAGGCTGAGAAAACTTTCTTTCTATAAGAGCTGATAGTAAAAATAATACTCGATACTTCATTATTCTTCAAGTAATATCATAATAATAAAATTTTGATAAGAACTTTTTGTTATGATACATGATGATAATATGCTCAAGTCCATTTCAAAGAAAACGAATCAATGTTTCTTTTCTTCCCTTTAGTTGCAATACATTCTCGTTGCTTCTATATATAAAATCGATATATTGAACGTTCGTCAATAATACAAACATAGTTTAGGTAAAAAAGGTCCTGACGAACTAAAACTAATTTCCGCTATTCATGGTCACGCCAGGCATCAGTCAAAATATAACTTTCAACAATAGTCCACTACAAATATCAGTATTATAATTTTCTTGTTTCTTTTTCTTTATTATTCAATCTTTTAATATCTGTATTTTTTGTGTTAGGTTTTCATTTTATAGACTAATAACTTTTCATATCATTCATAAAAGTAGCAAAACAAGTTTCTTATTAAGCTGAATTCAAAGAATACCTTCTTGTAGTGTAAATGTAAAAAAAATGTATAAATATTCAATTTCATAGCATTTCTCTGGGTTTAGTCGATAAAAATTAAAGAGAAGCTTTATAATAAAAAATAAATAAATAAGTAATCAAGGAGTATTATGGAAAACATAATAATTTGAGTTCTTTAATTGATTCAATAACAACATCTAATTCATGTTGCATTGTTTCATGTGATGTATCTTCAGCAATGATTGCTTTAAGATCATCAAATTGAAAACGAAGTTTATCAATTTGTTTATGAATTTCTTCTAAATATCTCATTGTACTTGTTGGATCTCGTCTATGTTCTAGAAATTTAATCAAGCCAAGTGCAGTTAAACCAGATAATAACATTAATATTCCAATAATATATGCAAATATGCTCCAAATTGTGCCGGATAATAAAACAGCTAAGACTCGACCAAATATAAGAAATGCACCACCCATAATAGATAAAATAAGACCCCATTTATTAACTTCACACCAAAAATATGTTGAATGAAATTGAGTTAATTTACCTTGTAATAGTTGAGATTGTTCAATTAATTTTTTAAATGTAACTTCATCCGATTTTTCATTTAAATGACGAATAAGTGATGTAGTTGGTTGTAATTTAAATTTGCGATAACGTATTTCCATACTTCCGGCTGCTTGATAAGTTGAGTGACGTACATCAGTAAAATCATTTTTAATTGAAAATAAAGCATCTTTATCAGCACCAGTTAATTGTGGTGATAATGTTTCAAAATATTGTTCAAATTTAGTTATTGCATCACGAGCTAATTGAATTGAAAAAGAAAAATTACTTGATGATCCAGGACGATTCCAACGTGATTCCAATAGATCAACAATAGCGTGCCATTGTTCAGCCGTAAAAAGAGGACTTGTCATGGTTTGAATTTAATTGAATCTTACAGCTAGAGTATAAATAATTATACATATTATCACTTTCGTAAAATTTTATATCGTTTATTCTGTGAAGAGCAAAATAAAAATTAAAAATAAATCAAAAGCAAGACGTTCATCAGGGAATCATACACTAATAATCTGATTTTATTTTGTTTTGTATGACCATAAAGAGTTAGTGAAAAAGTGGATCAAATTATTACTTTATTAATTGTCTAAAATGCATGCGGTCATATTACTTGACCCTAGAATAACAAGCGTGTGTCACCATGTCGTATACAACTTGTACGCGACCAATGTGAGTGACCATATTCATATGAATCTAAGAAAACGACTTCATAAGCGGTCACAAACAATATTAAACGACGAAAATTAACATTTTCTGACTTCCTTAATCTCGTAAGACATTAAAAATAGTAGGAGAAGCAATGACCATTTGCTAGAGAAAAACGGACCATAAAATGAATTGACCAATTAATGTATCCTCGTAGACGGTTGTAATCTATGTAGTATGCTAACTTATTCAGATAAGCTTCTTCTCATTTACGAGCGGAGAAATATTTTTTTCTCTCGTTCCATGCCGGCAGCATAAATACATAAAAAGAATGTTTGTAAACGACCGTAAGTCGTTGTATATTCACCTGGGAGATTCCAAGAACTTACAAAAATTAGTTAAAACTTTCATTAAAATGATGAAATGAACATAAAAATCAAATCCATTGTATTTACTTGATTAAAATATTCACTTTTAATCAATGAATTTGAAATACATAAATTTTCATGTGCATTTCATCGTCTTAAATGTAATTTTTTTTTACTTTTTAAACCCGTGGAATACAATGGTTTAAGAAGTTCATGTATGACTTGCGTTTTACTCAGTATCTAGTTGTAAAGGGTCCTACTTCTTCGTACATGATACACAGAAATACGGTCGTAACACTCAGTTCTAGGTTTATACATTCAGCAGATTCCTAACAGAAAACTGAAAAAACGGTAGTAACGTCAAAACAGAAATCTGGCAACTGGATTGTATGGCTGGATTTTTCTAACTTTTATTGGAACTTGGCAGAACCGATCACCAAATCCAATCGCCATATATCCGTTTTTAAGTTTCAAACATTTTTCAACCGAAACCGGATGGTATTTGTTGACCTGAGGTCATATACGGATTTCGTATTCTGCGTTTCAGAAAATTATTCATTTAAAATGAATTCTTACCATTGAATTCGTTGTTGAATAAACAATGTAAAAACTAAATGTTCGATAAGTGCAACTCAACTAACATCTAACTTACTACCATCTGTAATTGTGTCTTTTCGACCTATGCCAGTAGATGAATTCTGGTTAAAAACTTTTATATATATAATCAACACAAAAATGATTAAAATAAATTAAAATTTATTTAGAAATCAGATTATTATCGACTAGTCAAATATATGATTACCAACCTAATGATTATATTCAATTATCAATTACATGTCAAGTTGATGATAATATAACAGATATTTATTCTAAATAACCGTTTACGGGTACCCTCAGCCTTTCCAAAGTTTCTGAAGAATAGTTTATCATTAAATCTTGAAATTTTCAGAGCAGATAGATTTTGACAAGCAGAATAAAAACTGTCATGGACTCAAAGTTGTCAGATTTTGTCTTCTATGAGATACTGAGATCACAATGGCGCAAAAAAATAGCTCTTCCGTTTCTTCGAGATTCTATGTTCTACTAAGCTGAAAATTCTTTTATAAGCGCTAACTACTGTTTGGGCACATACTCTTTTATTGTTTGTCCTTTGAATAAAAAAGTCAAAATACCGAAGGCATCCTAAAAAATGCATTTTTCTTTGTAAGAGATACCAAAAATTAGCAGAAAAGATATTGTTTGCAACAACACGAAAATATACATCTCAAGCAGTGTATTGGATATGTGGAAAAGTTTCAACTTAATCGAACTTATTAGCCTGGAGAAATGGGCACGTTTCTGTACTTTTCTTCATGAATAAATTGACTTGGGAAAAATGTAATTCGCAATTTCTATTACGTAAGTTTGATTTTTTTTTAACGTTTAAACATTATTTTTTGATCCAAAAATGTACTCAATAGATAGATACCATGTCAGACTATACAATGATCACAAGAAGGGGTGCAATCTTAAAGAGAGATAGGTTTTTGATTAAGTTTCACATATAAATTGTATTCATTTTCATGCATGTATAAAAAACTGAAAGAAATGGTATATTAGAATAATTTTCTGTCTATAAAAAAAGCTTAAATCCAAAACTTAAAAGTAACACTTAATAAAAAAAAGAAAGGAAACTATGAGATTTACCTTCTGAAATAAATGAAAACTATTTGTATTCTTTTTTATTAAAGCTTTTACATAAAAATTTTAAGTCTAAACTCAGGTTTTCGAAAAACATCTACGAGAAACATGATTCTGTTTACCTTCAAGAAACGACATATAACCACCATCATCACTTTCTTGCTTACGTGGCGCTGTAATGGTGAACAATAATGACGCTTCAAATTGCACAATTCTAGTGAAAGAACCACTGATGTTTTGTTATTTTCTTATTTTTTATTCTACTCAATCTTATCGCGGTAAATATACAGAAAAAGAAAAAGAAAAGGAAAGAGAGTATAATGGGAGAGCAACAAGAAGAAAATGTTATGAAAAATTAATCATTTATTGTTTATAAGCAGAATTTTCTAAGTAGCCAACTTAATGTGATGGTGATCGTATTGCTGCTTGATCTCCAGATTTTGTTAATGATCCCTTATGATGAGCACCCGCAATGGAAGCAGACTCTATATCGAAAAAAAGGTCTTTAAAAAAATAGAAATCTAAAAATATTTATTTCAAACTCGATTTTGCTAAATGATGTAAAGTCATTGGTGTTGAATTCGAAAGACATGGACGTCCACTAATATTTCCACGATTAGATTCATATGTACCATATTCTTGATATTTAATTAAACGCGACGTTTTAAACGCTTGTTGATCCATTTCCCACTGTTTCATTCGTCTAATACAAAAAAAAAAAATTAAATCAACAGAATTTATTTTTTATTTCGAATACATACGAACGAAAATCTTTATTTTGATTTCGTTCCCAATTTTGACAACGTAAATCAAAATGAGCACCTGCTGCACGACCTTTTACGATATTTTTATCTGTCTAAAATTTTTATTAATAAATTTAGAAAGAATAATAAAAAAAACAATTTCAGTTTACTTTTGGTTCAAATACTTGATGTGAATGAGAATCGGTACCAGGTAAATGTCGACTTTTTATGTCTTTAATTTAATATTACAAAAGAAAATAAATAAATAAAAAAATAAATCCTTTTCTTTTTAAAAAGACAAACCTGCTGGTGAAATAACATCAGGCAGTTCGTCAACAACAGCACGTGTACTTTTATCCCAAGGTCGATCTAATATAAATTTCTTCTATACATATACAGAAAAAAAAGGGTACAAATTGATTTACCTCCAATTCCTGAATCAGAATGAAGACGAGCTACAGCAGTAGGAATAGCCGATTGTCGAATTTGAAGTACACGCTAACCAACAAAAAAATAATAATCACTTATTTAACAATCATTTCGAATTAAACTTACTCGTGCATTTTTAAGAGCTTGCAGATTATTCATTTTATCTTCAAAAAAGAAACAAGATCTCATTTTTGAAAGTTTAACATTAAATACAGGAAAAGAAAAAATTTTATTAAAATTCTCAGATATAAAAAGAATATGATCAGTATCTAGTGTTTCAAAAAGATATATTTTTTTCTTTTATTAGAATGATGTGAATCTATTGAACATCCAGCTTTTCTTTATGATGGACTATTTTCGACAATTTGACCTAATTTACTCCCAACTTTTTTGTACGGTACCTAAAGTATAAAACAAAAATATGTACTTAAGGTTTGTGATTTTTTTTTACCAGATTGATTGGCATTATTAGTTGTTGACAATCTCCTTTGTTTATCATCACTGCTGTTTCTAGATCTGATTGTTGTACACCTATTAATATATATATGTATACATTGAATGCACAGAGAAAGATAGATGAAAGTCATTTAAATGACATATTATACAATAAAATGAAACTAATTTTAAACACATTTCTTCTGTATAAATATCCATAAAATATAAATAGTTTATTTTTCAAAATTTTCCGAAAAATATTTTTCCAAAGAATCCTAATTAGGCATACATCAAATCCAAAAGTTCGGGTTCGATCATGACTGCAGTCACTTTCAGTTAATTAATAAAAGGAAGCAAAAATAAATCCAAAGAAAGGATTTCAGGCTTGACTATGGCAGATCTAGACACAGTTGAATTAATAATTCAAAAACCGAAGATCTGAAAACATCGAGAAAAAACAGCGAACAATGTTCAGAAAAAGTCAAATCTGAACTTAATCGAACCTTAGGATGCTTTCATGGTTGCCCATATATCTCAAGAAACACTAGGGCCATTACTCGACACTGTTTGAATAGTTTTTGAACCCGAACATTGAGTTTGAGTTCGGTGCATGCGTAATATAAATGGATTGATATCAATGACTTCAATAAACTGTTAGATATTCTGAAAGAAATGATTGTATTATTTAAATGTCTTACTAATAAATCAAAATTTTATTGGTTTTAAAAACAGATATTATTCCTTAATGTTTCCAGAATACATTTAATAAAGACTCAATTGATGTTCGATTGCATTTTCCATTCCGTCTCTTCCATAAAAATAATTCACCGATGTTTACAGAAAAACATCAAACAATAAATTGTACAAGGTAGAAACTTTGAAAACTCGACCTAATTTATGGACAAGATATTTTATTGATTTGATATCAGTCTCTAATTTATACAATCTGGACTATACTCACAACATTTTACAAAATCTGTAACTGTCTGCGATCTATGTTGTAACGAACTATTTTAATATACGATCTATGATTCTATATCAATCACGTATGTTATGGTCTGGAAGGAAAATACGTCAGCCATTTTAGATCGTATTTCACAAAAAAACATTTCTCACTACTGAAAAACATCGAACACAACTGATTAATACTTTTTTTTTGTTTAATATTCATGTTTGTTCTTCACATAAAATGTATTGTTAGCATATATCATCCAATAAATAAATACACTGCTTAATTTCATGATTTTTCAACGAAGTTGATGAATGTAAATTAGTACCATCGAATTGAATCTGTTATATAATCAATGGAAGACATACATGAACTTTATTATCTTGTCATTTATGTAATCATTTTGAGGATAAAATTCCACATACACCCACAATCATTATTAATCGGCATATTACTTGCATCAAATCAAATTTCTAAAATATTTTCAAGAAATAAAAAAAATAATCAAAAGAAAATTTTCAGAAAAAATGAAACATATTTTTTTTTATTTAATAAAGAACGAAAAGCAAGTACAATGCTAAAATTTGACAAATAATTACAAGAATATAATTCTTTTTTTCTTTTACATATCATTAAAATCGACGCCGTCGTTCATATTGATTTCGAAAATGATTTAATAAATTAGATATTTCTTGATTATTAGGTAATTGTATATGAAAATATTTTCCAATCATAATTACAATAAACATAAGAAATAAAAAATTAAAATGCGTTATAATTAAATGTAAAGTAAGTATAAGTAAATTAAATACAACAATAATTAAACAAATAATTATTGTTAAAAGATTTATATCCGATGGATGACGTTTATAACAAATAAGAAAAAAATAAATTCCAATAAATACTATTCGAAATAATGTCATTAATGGTGAAAAATCAAATAAAAATTTTGTTATTGTTTCAATAAATGACGGTAACCATTGTTTAAAAAAAACTGATAAAAATGAGACAATTATATAAGAAAAAATTGAACCAAAAAATATTAATGTTGAAATTGTTAATAAAACAAATAAACATATATATAAATTTTTTTTTAATTCAAATAATTCTGTTTCTAATGTATGTATACGACGATATAAATTTGATAAATGCTTTTCTACTTGTTGTTCATCTAATGAATTTTTATTTGTTGTTGAATTATTTACAATTGATGCTGATGAAATATTCATTAAATTTTCTTCTTCTTCAGGAGTTATTAACGATTGTTTGAGGCAATTATTTCGAATATGTATGGAAAAATTGCCTCGAGATAGTGTTTGTTTACAAACATTACATTGAACCTGGAAAATAAATTAATTTAAACGTGAAAGAATGTTACAAATAAAAAAAATGAGGATAGAATTAAAATGCTTAAAAGCGAACTACTCCAGATGACACTTGCCATTTGAGCACATATTGAGCACGAATTCGAGATCTCAGTAAGACTAACAAAAGTTTAACAGGATTTGTTTTCATGACCTATTGTAGTCAAGTTAGGACCATGTCACTGAACTTTTGATCAATTTTTAGATATTTACAAAAAGATTACATCATGAAATTTTACCTAGAGATAGATCAAAAATTCAGTAAAATATTCCTAAGTTGGCTCCAAAAAGTCCATGGCAACAAATCCTGTTAAGCTGTTGTTAATTTCACTAACAATAAAGGTGTTTGTGTTGTAAGTTAAACAGACTAGACACATTCGAATGAAAACAAAGCTCTCACCACCAAGCTAACAAATTTAAAATATTAGCAGCGCTTGGCAAACCTGGAGGACGATATTCGAATTTTGCGTTATTTACATTAATTTTTTATATAATCAACTGAAGAGGGAACATTTGCATGTGTCAGAACGTTTTTCAGTTGGGACTGTGCGCATCTCGTAAACCTCAATGAACTATGTCTACCATAAAAAGAGTTCGAGTTCATAGCTTGTTTCTGAGAAGATTGAATGTTTTTAGTGAATCTTCGCTATTGGATCCTACTTTTGCATAAAAACCATATTTTGAAATTTCGGCCTGAAACCTGGCCCACATAAAGGCCTCAATTAGATTAGCTTGTATAAAAAATTTCCGACTTTTCCGACTAACTCTTTCAGAGATATGAAGATTTTTAAAAAAAATGCCTGCTCTGTAATCTACACATGGAAAAGGGCCTATATTTTGAAAGCTGTGTATCTCTGAGACAGTTAGTCAGAAAAGTGTGCAACTTTTTACACAAGCTAGCCTATTTAAAGCCTTGATTTGGACTAGGTTTCAGATCAAAATTCCCAAATATGGTTTTCATGCAAAAGCAGGATCCTACTGCGAAAATTCACTAAAAACATTCGATCTGCTCAGAAACAAGCTATGGGCTCGAACTCTTTTTATGATAGACATAGTTCACTAAGGTCTGCAAGATGCGCACAGTCTCAACTGAAAAGTGCTCTGACACTTGGAAATGTTCCCTCTTTAGTTGTTTATATAAAATATTAATCCAAATAAGTCAAAATTCGAATATCTTCCTTCAGGCACGCCAATGACTGCTAATATTTTAAATTTGCTAGTGTGGCAGCGAGAGCTTTGTTTTCACGCGAATATGTCTAGTGTGTTTAACTTACAATACAAACACCAATTCCCTTGTAAGACATCAATGTGAGCTCAATATGAGTGCAAACGATGAGTGTCACCTTAGGTAATTCCTTCGTTAGTAAAAGAAATAAAATAAAATGAGAGTCAGGTTTGTGAGGATATTTCAATCGAGTGAAGGGATATTTTCAAATAAGTATACCTATACTAATAGATGATCAGACTGATAATTCATTAAAATAGAAAAATAACCAAATGAATGATTATTGATAATCAGAAGAACTATTTAAAAATTCCGATCAAATTGTTTAGAAAGTCGATTAAGTTTGTCTAAGGGTATCTCTTGCCTTTTTTAACCATTAATGGTACTTGAAAACGATGCAACTGATCAAACTGAGAATATTTATCTCTGATACTTGAAAGTATCATTCAGAGCCGAAATCAGCTGTCCTTTTTTTGACGTTTCCTATCTGAATTTACAAAAACACTGAAAGTCATGACTTTAGTTTTGGCTCGAAACCTTTACATATTCCTATCATAAACGTGAGATTCTTGTAAAAGCTTAAAATTACCTTTCCGGTATACTCTTAAATAACTCAAAAAAAACTTTTCAGCCTAATTGAATTAATTTCAATGAGGATCGTAATGTAACAAGATGTGATCCGATGGCAAACCAGAGTCTTCCAGTAAAACTTCATTTCAAAAATATTTCCTTCAACACATGTCTGTTTATTTTTGATATAAAAACTTCAGCTTGATCGGCTGTACCATCTTCGAGAAAAGTATCTATAGATTCAAATTCTGTAATATCAATTATAGTCGATCTGTATAAGATTGAAGGAGAGTCACTCTTTCCGGCGCTTTTGAAGAATAGTTAATCAGAATATTTTGAAATTTTTTTTTGAACAGAAATATCTTGATGAGTAGAGCAAAAGTTGTCATAGACTTAAAATTCTCGAATGCTTTCTTGTTGGAGATATTAGAATTGCAAGAATTAAAAGTGCTCCCGCTCACTTTTTCAATCACCAAGCCTTTGATGGAACTAAGTGTTGTTCTTTTAGATAGAAGACACTGTTCAGGTTGCCTATTTCGTTTTTGTTTTCTTTTCATTTTCTTTCGTTCGAAGCAAATTTCTTCTTACATCCTCAAAAATGTATGTTTTTTAAACTGGAGTTTTTTTTGAACTCTGGCAAAAAACAAGTAGTGCATCGTATTTTGAAACAAAAAAAAAGCTTTAAACGTAAATGATTCTCATCCTTTTTTTCTTTTGCCCAAAACTTCATTTTTCAAAAACAGAGAAATGGTGTGTAAATATTAATGTACTATGGACTATAGGACTTCATTTTACCTTATACTTTGAAATCTATTGTTAGTTTGATTTTTACACTCAATACTTCACTACAGTTGTAAGCTAGGAGGCCGATGCCTTTTAAAATTTTCGAAGTCATATCAAGATATATAAATCTATTGGTTAGATCGAAACATAACCTGCTAATAGTTAACTGAATAATCTAATAAGAATTTATATTCATCAGTCCAGTAATCGATATTTTTAATTTAAAACTTCCAGTCGTAACTCTAATATTTTTTCAATATTAAATCATTTTTTCTGAAAATAATTTCTCAGAATTTGTATAAATAATTAATTATTATAATACCTCAAGTTCATCGAGAATATTTCTTAAAACATGACTTGTTATTTTTAAATCATTTGGATTAATAATTGATGCTCGACAACAAGGACATTGTCGTAATTTTCTTATACAACGATTACAAAATGAATTTTCACATAAAATATGCGTTTGAGGATCAATTAAAGGATCTAAACATATTGGACATATTAATGATCGTGAAACTTTATCTTCATTAATATAAGTATAATTATTAGCTAATGCTAATTCACGATTCGTTGTTGTTGTACGGAACATCATTCGTAATTGATTCAATAATGTTGATGGCATTTTGTACTGTTTTTCAATTATCTAAAAATAGAAAAGAAAAACAAACAAACAATAATTTCTCTTTTTTTTTTTTTTTTATTTCAAAAGTTTTATTTTATATTGTTTCACGTAAACTACGATAGATTGATACAATACAATTGATATCTATCCATATATAAAGAAATACATCACTTGGTAAACCTTGTTTAAAATATAAATTAAGCCATATTGATAGAGTTATAATTAATATTTTAAAAATAAAAAAAATAAAACGATATTTTAAACCATGATGTGTACCAATACCATAAATATATATTGAATAACTCGTAAATATAAGTATAGATATATTACATATAAAATTAATATAATCAAGTATTTGACGTTGTTCGTAATATGATAAACATAATTGACCAGATATTTTTTTTGTTGTACGTGATATTAATGAATGTTTATTATGCGAATAATTAATAAATGTTATTTGATTAAATAAACTTTGATTTGTATACATATTTCGAATATCATCTAATTCGTCTTTTATTTTTATCATTTCTTTACTTAAATATACAATATCAGAAAGACAAAGAAGAAATAATGTACTATAAAAACCAACAATAATACCGAATATAATTGATGTTATATTAGTTTCATTCATAACTAAATAGTTTTGTTCTAAAATACAAAAAACTAGACACAATTTCTATTCATAAGAATTTCTTTTCCTTTTCTTTATCTATTCCATAACCATACAATAGCAAATGAAACAATGTACCACAACAGATATACAATAGTAAATGGTTTTAAATATCCAAGTAGATAATGTTCCATGAGAATTCGTATTAATATTGATGTCATTGCAAGAATAAAGATACAAAAATAATAAAAAACAAAATCTATTCTTGTATATTCGAGTTCATTATTATTATGAAATAATTCTTCGTCAGAATTCTTAAAACGTTGATTTAGTATAAATAATATTAATGATAATATAAAAGAAAAATAAATTATCCATGAAAATATATTATACCAATATTCAATTGTATAACAACTATACACTTTTATTGATGTTGTTTCATTGATATCATTATTAAAAAATAAATCACTACTTAAATTAAAACGTTGAGCAACACCTTCAGACCAATTAAATGCAATTAATAATGAAGATGATATTAAATCAAATAGGTTTTTTAAACTTTCAGGTCGCATCATATAAACAATTGATAATGGTATTATTGAACCAGCTGTTAAGCCATACATAAACATTGGACAACTCATGATCTAGCGTTTTTTTTTCTACTTAAATCTGAAACATAAAAACTTAATGAATACAAAGACGAAAAAATAACAAAACAAAAAGCAACCACGCCAAGCCTGTGTACTGAAAATGTTGAAATGATGTATAAAATATCGATATCAATGTGTAAGATATTATATTTACAATGTGTAATAACTTAATAGTTTGTGTTGTTGATCTATTCGAAAAACATGAATGCAAAACATACAGAATAAATGTATAAAAAATAAATGATGATGATAGATATCTTAAATAAGAAAATATTGTTCCTATGAATGAGATTATTAAATTTAAAAATGAAAATGTTTGTTCTGTGCCATGGATTTTTTTTTTCAAATCGTTACATTCATGCCGAAGTTCAATTACTTCATTTAAACATTTAGATAATTCATTTGAATGATTAGCATTTGAAAGGTTTTTATTATTTTTCAATTTTTGATAATAAATCGATGTTAATATAATAACAGCACTTGTTACAACAATTGCTGTTGTTTGAGTACGATTTAACATCGGATGGAAAATAAAATACAATAATCAAGTTTTATATTCCGTCATATAACTTCTAGAAACATATACATGTTTCCTTCTATTGTTTTTTTAGAAAAAGATTAGTGAATTGAATTAACCAATCCAATAAACAAATAGAGCGTGCTAGTATCGATAAAAATTTGAAAAAAAAATAACATTTAATATTGTTGTATAAATGAATTATTATTTCGTTTATTATCGAAGAATATTTAAAGTAAAAAAATTAAAATTAAAATATACAATTGAACATAAAACGAGACTATTTTATTACATGCAACGTATTATACAGGAGGTATCGTGTTAGTCCATAATGTAACAGAAATTTCTACTAATTATAATAATGAAAACAATTATCATCTGATCATTTTAACCTCCTGGGGACCGCTGTCTTCAGACTGAAGACAAGCAGGACTGGCGAAATCAACAAAGTTTGACAAATGAAAATGATTGGTTGGAACTTTTACAGAAAATCAAACAAATTTTTCTGCTTCGGAAAATGCCAAAACTACCCGGTGCTCCTCCAGCATCCTCGAGATATTCCTTAATCTGGTTTGAAATTATTGTAAAACTAGCGCCATCTGTGTTACNACTCGATTAGTCTGCCTTCTGCCAGATGTATCGAATGTAGAGTATTGAATTACAATAAAAAATACTTGTACAATCCCAACAACTAAAAACTAAAATTATTCTGATGATAGCTAAGGTTTGTTAAAAATTTACCGAACAAATACTGAATAGAGTTCCAAACATCAGTTTGATATAGGTTGTTGATTGGTTGTGATATATTTTTGTTATAACACAATCTTGAAAAACTAAACAAACAGACATGTTAAACAGAATGCTCAAATAATATCATGCATTCAACTGTATTATAAATAATGCCCTTAAACATAAATTTTAAATGCTATGTTTACTTTTTTATGCAGTCATAGTTGACCGAATTGAGTTGGGTTACTAGTTGACAGTCAATATCACTGCTAATCAATGCTGTTCTATTGTGTAAATTGTGACAATTTTTGCCAGACATTTTCTCACTAATTAATCCCGTTAATCGAGCAAATAAGAAAATGAAGAAACTTTCACAAACACTATAACCAACAACTGCGCATACACCGATACACAACAAAATATAATCGACAATGTCCGCAAAACGAAACTGAAATCATTGTTGATAAGCATAGTGATCTTTATTCTGTTATATTGCTGAACGTACCAACTGAAGAAATGTCACAATTTTCTGCATTTCATTATTATTGCCTTCCAAACTGTCTTGCCTAGTGCTGAGATGCTTTTCAGCCAGCCTGCGAATTGCAGTAAGAAATCTGTAAGAAGAAAGGATGGCATTCCAAAACACACATTCGAGAAATATATATTTACATACGTCATCCAACATTTCCACTGGTTTTTGCCAGCTTTGTTTGCCTTGGTAGGCGACGGTAGAAGAGGTTGTCTATCACTCATGAATATATTCGTTAAACAGCAATCATATAATAAACAATAGAAATAAATAAAACGTTTAATGTAAATTATTTATTAATATAAACGAAGTATTATTAAACGTATCAAATTACTTATACCTTCCCATGTCGCTCAAACTGCCAGAAAATCGCCGGTTTACCGCGGTTCGCCAGCTTTTTTTTCGCGTATCATAGTGTATGAAAATTTTTAAACTCTTAGAAAATTATTAGAATTATGTTGAAATCGTCGCTCCTTATATATGCAAACGCACTTAATCCACCGGTACCAGTCACGTCTGCTATATTTTCTTGGTTTTCGAGTTTAGGTTTTTATTAACCTCCTGGGGACCGCTGTCTTCAGACTGAAGACAAGCAGGACTGGCGAAATCAACAAAGTTTGACAAATGAAAATGATTGGTTGGAACTTTTACAGAAAATCAAACAAATTTTTCTGCTTCGGAAAATGCCAAAACTACCCGGTGCTCCTCCAGCATCCTCGAGATATTCCTTAATCTGGTTTGAAATTATTGTAAAACTAGCGCCATCTGTGTTACATTTTTGTTAATACCTCGAGGATGCTGGAGGAGCACCTGGCAGTTTTGACATTTTCAGAAGCAGAAAAATTCGTTTGATCTTCTGTAAAAATTTCAACCAATCATTTTCATTTGTCAAACTTGATTGATTTCGCCAGTCCTGCTTGTCTTCAGTCTGAAGACAGCGGTCCCCAGGAGGTTAATCATATTTTTAAATGATTCTATTAAAAACAAAAAACTTTATCAAATCAAATTTTTTTTTCTATTAGCTTAACATGAATTTTTCAATAAAATCTATTTCATTGTGTAAGAACGAAAAACCTCGAATTTCTTTTATTAATACTAAACACGAATATAAATCGTAAATTGATGATTGGTATATAATAAATACAAATGATAATTTGGGTTGTTTACCTGAGATAAAAGAAAGAAAAACAAATCGTTGTGTGTCGATGGCATAGACTAATTCGACGTGCATTTACTATAATAAGAAAACTTTTATCATTTAATCTTACGAAAACGAAACTATGCTTTCGATTATATTAATTTCGATTATTTTTGTTCTTAATATTGTCTGGTTTTTATATCGTCGTAGTTCAAAACAAAAATTTGATATTCCAGGTGTAGATGCATCTGATCCTGAAAAGGGTAATCTTGAAGATATAGGTCAAGCTGGTAGTCTTCATCAATATTTAACTAAATTACACAAAAAATTTGGTCCAATTGTTTCATTTTATTGGGGTAAACAACGCGTAGTTAGTATAGCATCACCAGAAGCTTTTCATGATACACGTCGTTTATTTGATCGACCAGTATGTCTTTTTGCTCCATTTGAACCATTGATGGGTGCTAATAGTATACAATATGCTAACGGTGATGTTGGTCGATATCGTCGAAAAAATCATTATGATGCTGCTTTATCACCTATGGCTCTTCGAACACATTTTTTTGATATATTTCAACGTGTTTTAAGTGAAAGAATGACTGCTTGGCAATCAATAGAAGAAAAACCTATTAGACTACATGCTGAAATGTTGTCTGTGGCGATACAATCAATAACTTTAGCAGCTTTTGGATTGTTATTATCAGTTGATGATGGATATCGTATTGAGCAAGCTTATAATACATGCTGGCATGAAATGGAAATGCGTATTCAAGGTCAAGCAATAAATTCTAAACGTGAAATTGAATTTAATGAAGCACGAAATTTTTTATTCGAAAAAATCAAAGAGATTGTTGCTCAACGTCGTCAACGAATAGGTGATGATCATAAATGTTTTATTGATTATTTATTAGATGATAGTGACTATCTTCCTAGTGACGAACACATAGGTGATGAAATTATTACTATGCTTGTTGGTGGATTTCATACAACAGGAAATCTTCTTACATGGATTTTATATTATTTAGCAAAAGATGATAATATTCAACAACGTCTTTTTGATGAACTTGTACAAACATATAATACAAAATTTCCATCATTTGAAGAAATTGATCAAATGTCTTATTTAACGAATATAATTCATGAAGGATTACGTGCTTCAGTATTAGCGCCATGGGCAGCTCGAGTTTCAATAGATCATAATATAAATGTTTGTGGAAAAATCGTTCCGGCTGGTACACCAATTATTCAAGCACTTGGTGTGCTTTTACAAGATGATAAAATCTGGATAAATCCATCTGAATTTAATCCAGATCGATTTAATCAAGAAAATAAGAGGAAACTACCAAATTTAGCTTTTTCACCGTTTGGATTTGCTGGTAAACGTATATGTCCTGGTTATCGTTTTGCTGAATGTGAAGCAGGTTTATTTATAGCTGGTATTATACGAACATATAAAGTAACATTAGTTGATCCAACAAGACCAGTAATACCTGTGCATGGTTTAGTAACATCTCCTAAAGATGAAATTTTTGTACAACTCAAGAAACGAAATTCATAATTTTATTTGCTACAAAAGAAAAACATTAATTAGCTTTTTAGTTGATTTTTATTAGTTTTTTTCTTTTCTCTTAAAACAAATAATTGATTTAAACATTTGTTTATGTCACTAAGTATAGCATAGTTCAAATTTTTTTTTATAAACAGTAGAATTTCATGCATAAAATAAATTTAATATGAATGAATGAACGATATCATTTTCTTCAATGATTGGTGAATATCGAATACGAATAACAAACATTAAAGAGGTTAATCCAATCCGAATGAATTGTTTTAGGTAGTGGTTTCTCGAAAGCCAATAAATGTTGTCTGATGAAATTCATTGCATCAGAATTTTTCATGTTAAAATACGCCCCTTTGATCGATATGTATATACTGATTTGTAGTGTTATTTTATTAGTCATTTTATTTAATTTTAGAAAAGCTCATGACGTTAACTATCGTATCTTGTAAGTCATGCAGGTAGTTTTCATATATATTTAGTTGGGTTATTTGGATCACAAGTGTTATTTTTATTAGGTGACGTGCATGGAGTTAGCATTGCATCATCTGATATTTTTCATGACAAATGTCATTTATTTGATCAATTGTTTCTCTCTTTTAATCTACCTATCCGAATTTAATATACTAATGACAATATTACTATATATATCACTAGTATGCAACTTTTTCTAATTCAGGTATTTCATAGGTAGTAAAAGTTTTTTATGACTAGAGCATACTTTCGTTATAGTCAAATAGAAAACAAACCTACATAAATGTTATAAATAAAGAATTAATTTTTACCGATATTATTATAGTTTTCAAAGACTAAATCAGATTGCTTATTCTTTAATAAAAAAAATTATCACTGAATTAGTATATGTATTCAGCATCAATACTATAGATGGCTTGCATCTCATTCGATAATTGTATGTTGCATTTTACAGTGATACGCTTTCTAGATAGGAAAACTAATCATTAAAAAACTTGTTATTGTTTACTCATTATGAGTCAAGGTCAATTTGTTTTTTCTCAATAAAATAACATAACAAATCTTTAAAAAAATTTAATTTAAGTGTGTTTTTTTCTAGATCATAAATGTCTAACACAACTAATATCTTGGAAATGTTAAGTTCTGATCAAAATATTGGTTTAAAGGAGATAAAAAATCGTTGTCGAAGCAGTTCTGTAAGTTCAAATGAAATAACTACTCCATCAATTAAATCATCATCATCATTAGAACATAATCAATCCAATTCATTGTCAGTGTATGAAAAATTAACTATATGGAAACAATCTATTGAAAAGCATTTAAATCAAATTTATTTAGATAAACTTAGTGAAATAGATAATTTATTAGTTCAGGGACAAAATCATATTGATATCATATTTAAAAAAATACCATCATTTGAACAATTAGTTACAGTGACAAGTCAACAACAAACTATTGATCATACGTATAATGATATTGAATTTGATTATGCTAATTCTCAATTATTTGATTTAACAAGTAATAACACATTACTTTGTACATCAAATTATTACACCTTAATTTATGATGATATTACATCAAATTTAAATTTATATAATAACCAATCAAAATTAACTTCATATCTATGGGATATAGATGAATATGGTAAACCATATGATTTAACATATTCATATTATTTAAATATTTATTGTATAATAACACATCATGGTTTATTTACATGGTCACATGAAAATCCATCAGTACCTTTACATATTGATTCAATAAAACGTATAAGAGGAAATCGGTTATGGACAATAGCATCAACCAATACACGATCTGATGTATTTATATTATTTAAATCTGGTAATTTTATTGAAAGATGGAATTCTAAGATTGATACAAAATCTTGGCAACATATAAAACGTTGGTCAAATCATGAATTATTTGAACATGCTCATCAACATATAAGAACTATACGAATGACATCAAATTATGTTGCATGGACTGTTGAATCAACAAAAATATTTGAATGGCGGATAGATTTACTTGATTATGATTTACAAATTATTCGGCAGGGTATTAAAATAGATCATTTAGATAAATATTCATCATGTTTATTATCTAATTTTGGTTCGGAACAATATCTTATTATTGATAGTAATGGTCATTTATTATTTCTACTTGATTCAAATGGTAATATTAAATTAAAAGATGATCATATTATAAATAAACGTATTAAAAATGCTGTTTTTATGAATAATAATACTAATAATAATCACCAATGGCTTGTTGTTCGATTAGAACAACCAAATCAATTATGTTTTATTCCATTATTAAACAAAATAGAAAATAAAAACATCTAGTTAGCTTTTTTTCGACATAGATATCTTAATTAATGAACAATTTTGTTTTGTGTCGTTGCTTTTTGTATTGTTTACTTTAGCTTTAAGGAAACATCTTCATATTAAAAAAATAAATATTTCATTTCGTTGTTTTTTGCTCTATAATTGTTGTTTGATCTCGTATTTACATGAAATATTACATCTTTGATAACATTATTTACTTTGAAAGTTTCAACAAATGAAAATTCATTGAGAAAAAGTGCTAATATCGGGTATGGCAAAAGTTTTGTGATATTCTTTATTTTTCGTGTAAAAATGTTAAATGTCGATCTTTTGTTTTTCAAAAGATGCACCATCGGATATTTCACTTAGATTACAAGACCAAGTCTTTATAGCTATTTTCGACATTTTAATAAATCATTAGTACTGAACACTTCTGTCATTCTGCAAGGAGAAACTGGAAAAGTTTCATTTTATAAGTGACAACTAAGGTCATCTTTAATCAAATCAATTGCTAGAAAAAAGGGACTGTTTCAGACACTGTAAAGCATCAGAACGTTCATCATTCTATCAATACTTCCTACGAGACTAGTACTAATTTCTCCTCAATGTATTATCATTATCTTCAGTTGCAGGGAAGTTCTCATTATATTATTTTGTTAAGCTTAATTCTTTTTTAACAATATATTTTAAACAATCGAAGAAGTTTAATCTAGTGATCTGTGCATCGATCTCATCGTTTTTAGACGATATATTTGGGAGCAACGCTGCAAAAACAAGGTTTTATTTCTGGACGAAGCATCCAAATCAATTGATACAGATGTTATTTTTCACTTGTGTTTGGGATTAGAATGAGTGATAATTCTCAGACTTCGAAAGTCACACTACATCTTAGATTATTTTTCCTTGTAGGAAATAACACAATGATACACCTGTTCAATATTAGTAGGCTATTCAAATTTTGAAAAAAATTTATTAAGATTTGGCTTCATGATTCGAGTAGAACAATAAATAGCGCATCTTTTTAAGATAGATCAACATTTTATCATGTTGCTGAACTGAGTTACATGTAAAACAAAACAGGGCACGAAATTTTGCCACATCTGGAACGTCTTAAATATGCATGCGTTTTTCGAATGAATAGATTCGAAAGGCTAATAAAATTAGAAACGACATCGACAAAATTTAATTAATACATCAAATGGTAGATGTTATTGAAAATAATAAAGTTTTGTATTTTGCTTAATGAAATTTTATTCAATAGAAATAAAACCTTCAAACTAACTTGAATAATCATAGATATAACTCTGGTACAAATATGAAACCAAACCATACTGGTAGAGAGAAAAAATCAAATATGTTATTTATTTTAGTCAGAGAAATATGTCATTACTTGTTTTGAAACAAACATGATAACGAAAAACAAAAAATGAAAGCATATTATAGATAAAATATAATAAAGTAAAGGATAACAAGAAAATGTGTTACTTGAAAACCATTCGATCTCTTGATATTTACTAAGATAAATGCAAAATAAACATCAAGATTCTACAGAATAAGGCGTTGTCCATTTCTAAAATATCATAAATCTTGTTTTTGTTGAGTGAACTTTACCAAGGATTTATCAAGCACTTGCATGTCACAATAAATATAAGCCGACTAAATTCAATAGTTATCTATCAATCGATACGTTTTGCTACATAAGAATACGTAAGTAAAAAATATACATATATTGTATTGTTTTTTATTTCGATTTTTATGATTTAGTTTGCAAAAAAGAAAATGCGCTGGTATTGTTGGATTATATTTTTTGCTGTTGCAAGCCTTTCAATATGGGGGTTACCTACAGATGGTGATATTGATGAAAAAAGTTTACTAACTGTTGATAATAAAAATGAGAAAAAAGAAGATATTGCTGATGAAAATCGACTATTGAGTGAAGAGGGTGAAGACGCAGTTGATGAGGGTGTGGGGTGTGGGTGTGGGTGTGGGTGAGGGTATAGGGTGTGGGTGTGGGTGTGGGTGTGGGTGAGGGTATAGGGTGTGGGTGTGGTGCGGGATGTGGGTGTGGTGCGGGATGTGGGTGTGGTGCGGGATGTGGGTGTGGTGCGGGAGGTGGGTGTGGGATTGGGTGTGGGC